ATAAGATGTTACATTTTATAGCAGCTTTAACGGTTGACTTATAAATATTAAGTATCAAAACAAAATCAGAAACCTGAATTTTTCATGAATCGTGATTATAAGTTTTACGTCACAGTTATATACTTACACATTTTATGGGCCAAGGGGGGCCAGGCCCCTCTGACCCACCACCTTTAAATCCACCACTACATACCTATACCTATATACTTACCTATTTATCCGTACAATGTAAATAATAAAATATGCACAAGTAAACAAACACGCGGTTGTTGGCTTTCGAATTTGTGCATTTTTATTTACGATTTTTATTTTTACCAACAAACTCACTCGGCTGTTTGGCCCACCACAGGTGCATTTTGAGTCCGGTCAGCTCGGCGGTAATCCTTCCAGCGTTGTTGGACTTCAAACAAAAGGGCCTAGGCGAGGATAAAGGGATCATAACATTGGTGATGGCTGCATGCAGTTTCGATGACATATTTTGCATTTCCGCATTCGGAGTGTGTCTCAGTATCATATTTTCTGAGGGTATGACCTATATAATATTACTGCGTAGAGYGAGCTTACGTGATATTCATTGTTGATTTGGTGTTTGTTTGTTTGTTCCTTTCTATTCAGGTAGCTGGGAGACGAATGCTATGCGAGGACCCATCGAAGTAGCCATCGGAGTCTGTGTAGGCATCGTTTGGGGTGTAATCACCGGTTTCATCCCGCACAAGTGCGAAGTACGTATAATAGACATACCGTAAACAATCATAATAACACACAAGTCTGGATTTGAGTCATCTGACTCCCAGATACTTATACTTGCAGAATATCGAGTAAGGCTCCTATAGGAATAGGCACACAGGTACTGTAAGTCTTCTTAGACTTGTCACGAGCAATTATATTCTCCTGGTCGTGCGTTCGAGTTGTTTGTCGTCCCAAACATGCACCCTACGCCTATACCACCATAAGAGCCAAAATTATAATTTTTTTAGTTCCATTAACGGACATTTTGATATATTATTCAATTATAATACCGACCAGCGTCACAGTGGAATGGAAGGGTTTTATACAAAAGAGAATTTTTTGACGAAGCAAACGGTACGTCGTACGCAGAGGTCCAACACTAATGACTATCTAAAAAATTTCATGGAATCGTGAAAAACGTTTTCCTATAATATGGTATCTGCAAAAACATATTCTCGTAAAAAAAAATATAGTCATATTGATAAGAAATTTTTGAATTTTATAGCATACCTACTGCTATTACATTGGTGACTTAGTGTTATACTTAATGCGTTTATTACGATAGGTACCTATACCAGCTATACCTACTGATACTGTTAATAAATATAAAATAATAGGTACTATTTTACCGTCATTGAATAGAAACAAAAATACCTAAACATGTCCTAAATGACCTAAATGACAAATGTATCATGAATTATTTAATTATGATAGACTAATATTTTTATATTTTATTCAAAGTTTTCCTGATAATAAACTTAGGGATACAGAAGTAAGTTTTTGACACTTCGTAAATCAGATCATGATAGGTATAAGTAAGAACTATGATTAGTTGATGTGCATAAAAATAAAAATGATCACATCACGAAGCAATTTAACAATTTACGATTAGATAAATACACATATATATATTATATATGTTACCGGCAAAGTTTTAAATATAGGCATTCTATAAATGTCTTAGGCATTACATAGAATTCCTTGAACTATTTGGAAATTTATTAAATTTGAATGTTATTTTATATCATGCCTAGGCAATCTATATAATTCTCAGGATTTTTATAGAATTCCAATACTATGTTAGGTAATGTGTTAAATTAAAATATATTAATTATTATTTATTGTTTATTACTCATTTATTACAGCAAACAGATGATGAATGGAATTTTGAACTGCATAAAATATTATTTTTTACACACAAACATTTTTTTGATTGACATTTTGTCTTACATATAATGTACATTTTATAAAACCTTGTCCAGTTCCTGTAGATTGTTGAGTTGCAATTGTACGTAAAGCTGATGTATTTTCTCTTGGAACTTGGTCAATTGTTATTAAATTTTTCTGGCATATTTTGAATTGAGACTTTGAATATAAAGATTTTAAAAGCCCTTCCTTAGTCCCTAATCTACATATAATACCAATCATTCATCAACTGTTATCTGCAAAAATATTTTAATGATCATAAAATAATAAAATATAAATGGGGTTGAATTACTATAATATAATATGTATTATTTTATATTTACTTCTGTTTTTAGAATTTCATAAAGTTCATCATCATTAACATAAAATAATATTTTGCCATCAGCAGTTACCGGAAAAAATAATTTTTTTATTTGCTGTACAACCAGAATATTGTGCCTATAAAAACCCCATAATTACATATAATATTATTAGAAAAATATTATAACTAATTTTTCTTATGTGAGTTGTGCTACATTGACACCAGACCGGAGCGGCATATAAGTCTAGAGGACGAACGATTTTTTTATAAAACAGTAATGAGCTCTTATAGACTAATAATGGCACAACTTATACTTCAATTACACCTTATTCCTGTTCGATATTTTGCAAACGTAACTATTGGATATTTCAAATAATCCGAACTTTTCGACGGTTTGTCATTGCAAGTCTCGGTGTGAATTGTGAGGTTTTTCAAAAGTATAACGATTAACAATGCAAACCCCGGTATAGATTAAGTGTTGAATGGGGTAAACTGATGTCGTTAAGGACGCTGCTATGTGAGATATTCTGGCGTATATCGTAAATACATGTTCATATTTTACTTGTAGATTTAAACGTAGAAATAGTATATTCATAAAAAAATGTATAATTCAATTATTTTTTGAATCACAATTTATCTTATCTTTTTTTGTCACAAAAATCATATTAATTTGTACGATTTTTTAACTAAAAAAAAAAAATTTTGGACGGTTACTTTGTATAATTTTAAGTTGTTCCTGTCTTTTATAAATCCTGATTGAATTAATAATACAGACCATTTTAAACATGACAATAATATATATTTATTTTACTAATATTATTTGAATACATCATAAATTATAAAATTTGTAAATTAAGTATTATACAATGTTTTATTTACAGACAAGTCTGACCCTGAAACGGACGTACATAATAACGGCAGGTGGAGTATTGCTCACGTTTGGGTCAAAAATGATCGATTTACCGGGTGCCGGTCCTCTGGCGATCATGACGGCGGCGTTTGTCTCGGCGATTTGCTGGAAAAAAAACGATAGCTTTAGCGTGAGTGATGAGATAACATAATATTTAAACTACAAGAGGGGGTTTTAGCATCAAGAAAAATTTAACGGTCACGTCAAATACATTAATAACAATTTTGTAAAACCTAAGTAGTTCTTAAATCAATCTGACGACGGTCGGCAGGCTGCGCAAGGTTGACGATTTTGTAATAATAATAACTATGTTTTATCGTCGTAGGATAACGTGGAAATGGCGACGAACAACGTGTGGGACTTTTTGGAGCCTTTACTATTCGCCTCGATCGGCACGGAAATCGATTTGAGCAGCATAAGACCGACTTTAATCACGTCGGCGACCGTCCTGTTAATCATCACGTCATTGGTGAGCGCTCAGAAAGGTTTTTAGTATCTATACGCGKGTGGCTGGTTATCAATARTTTTTGAAAAAATTTTAATCAAAAGCGAGGGAATGTGTTACGYCATAATATACCTATTTCAGATATAATGGCAGTGTATCTCTATTATGACTTATGAGGGAGTCAGCACATTATTTGTTTTATTTCTCTAGCCCACGCACGAAATAGACAAATAGCAATAGTGTTTTTTAATTTTATGATTTATGTGCAACCTTAGAGAGAATTTATTATTTATTATATTTATACATATTTAAATATAATTTATTACAACCTTATAAAGAATAATATTTTCGAGAGTTATCAATTTGTCAAAACATTAGTCTCAGAACCATTATTAAAATTAATTTCAATTTACAATTAACGAAAAATCGTGACACTTCTAGAACGTCGTTAAATATGACATACACCGCAAACGAATTCACATTTTTTCATTAATAGGCTCAATATTACAATTACAATTTAGTAGACTCGACTAATTGCCTAATTGACTAATTAGGTATTACATATGGCCACTAAATACAAAAAAAAAAACATTATCATATGTCTATACTCTATACTCGTATTATTGTAGATTGTAATATCATTGTGTAGATAGCTGCACGTTTAACTTACACATTTAAATTTGAATAGCTATAAGTTTATAATGGTTGATAATATTATTATTATTTTTATTTCTTTTCAGGTAAGAGTGGTCACGTGTTTCTTCGTTCTAAAGGATACCAATTTCAATTTACGCGAGAAAATATTTGTTAATATTGCATGGTTACCAAAAGCAACAGTTCAAGTAAGATTTTATAGTTTTACGACCTGCATAGGTACTTGTAACTWGTTAGGAATTCATTAACTATGATCCATGGTTACGAAATAATAAAAATATTAGGAATCACAAATATATCGCCTAAACTATTAACTTTTGTAGGTAGGTAAGTACAGGTAACCTGCTTATAACAATGCACAAAATTAATTTTTGAAATATAATAATCGTCTYGCAAAGATATACATTGACAAATAATAATTGTGCAAATGATTTATTTTGAACAGGCAGCGATTGGACCAATCGCATTGGATATGGCACGCAGTCGTGATGAACGTTTAATCCCATATGCATCTGATGTATTGGCCATCAGTGTATTGGCAATATTGATCACTGCACCGATAGGCGCGATTGCCATGACACTACGAGGAGAATACTTGTTGAAAAAACAATATTGATTAATTATTATATTTATACCGAACAGAGAATCTTGTTCAAACAGTGAAATTAATAATTGATCAATATTAGTTTGTTCTATTATTAATGCTAGTCAAATTTTCATTGTTATTACTTAAATACATAAAACTAGTTTCTTGGTTTTTTTATTTTTTTAACCAGTTCCAGCCTCTAATTTTTTGCATTTATTATAAATTATTATCTTTAAGCTTTAAGGTTAATATTTTATACATATAATGCAAAACAATTAATTCACAAAGCATTCCTAATGTCCTCTCTTAAATATCCACTCTTCTTTAAAAAATTTTTTTCTTTCATATCAATCAAAATAAGTTATAGTGCCATTAAAGTTTAGTTTTATAATTTTTTTTTTTAATTGAAACATAGATTTAAAATTTTTTTTCATATTAATCAAATTATAAATATTTAACTATAACAAAAAAGATTTTGCCTTTATTTTCAATTAAATTATAAATGAAAATAAAATTTTTAAATACCTAGCAGTAATAATAATTATATTAGTATATTTACATAAAATATAATATAATACCTAATCAACTATATAACTATAGCAGGTAGTTGCAAAACTCAAAATGAATATTTGATGTTGTTTACATCAGACACTTTAATGTTTAAATATAATTTAGTTGACTAYAGTCAAACTTATAAATTAATTTTCAATCTTCAGTTCTTAAGCTTATTAATAACCCTATGATTTGGACTTAGTAAACGCATAGTTAAAATATATCTAATAAATTAGTTTACTCAAATTAATTTTGATTTATGTATGACATTTTTGTATTTAAAAGTGTTTTATTTTTTCAAAATTACTCAAAGATCTGTTTAAGACTCATTGATCTCTTTTCATTTAATAATCATTATTTCCTTATTATATCAGGTACACTTTAGTTTTAATCTTAATGTTATTCTCTGTTTATTAATAATATTACTAGTTTAATACAATAATTTTTAGATATCGATTTGAAAAATACAATAGCAGTTAGCATATTTTTGGTTTTAAAGTTATAAGGCATCTCAAATAAGTYTAATGTTTTTTTATACAATAATAATAATGAAATTATATCAAAATAATTTTAATAACATTTATTATTTATTTGTGTTATAAAATGATATACCTATATCCTTGCTACGTTTCAGAAAATGTAACTATAAAATAGTACACAGAGTGATACTATTGGATTTATCCTCTAACTATGTTTATTTATGTTTAAGTATTAAATTATTTGTGCTTGTTTCTTTGGAAGAGTGTTGAATGTATAATTATGATTGTAAATTAAATTAAATTTAAAAAATGTATATGTATAAATATAAGAGTAAATAGTAACTGGAAGTAACATAGTACGTAGTAACTTTATTTAAATATTTTATGTAAGTTAAATAATTTGTATATGTAATTATGTACTCCAAAAGTTATTCCAATAACTAATCTTATTTTTTTCTTAAAAGTAACAAACCTTTTTTTAGCAATTAAAATCCATATTTAGCTTGTGTTTGCTTCCTGGTCATTCTATTCTCAGCCCACATGTTTTTAAGTTTCAGCTCATTGGCTTTAGCCTGTAAAAATTTAAATCATATTAAATATTAATATTTAGTTTAAAATTGGTACTTARTGTAATATATATCTATATTCTTTTCATCATTACCTGTTGAGCTAAATATGTTATCTGATGTTTGCGTTTAGATTGTCCACTTATAGTAATATCACTACTGACATTTTTACTTTCAGCATACTCCTCTGTCATATTCTTCTGTAACCACTGTTGAGACTCTTCTAACACTTGACGCATATCCACATTTATTACTTCAACTTGTTTTATTTGAGTCTTGCTAGGATCACTAAGTTGTTTCAACTGTTATAAAAATAAAATGTAATACATTTACATATTAAAATATTAATTTTTACAAGAGTTTTATAAATATTAAACATACAGCATTAGAATCGAGGATTAGTTTTGTTTCATCCTCTTCATAAAGGTCAGATTTGTTAGGTTCAGAACAATACACTGGTCCATAAACCCTGTTGTCTTCAATTATAGGTGTATTAGTTTGAATTTCAGGTAAATCGAACCCAGCAACAGGCGCTACATCAAGTACTTCATTGATTTTGTTCAATCCTAAGAAATCGCCATCTTCTTGATCATCATCATCGGCTTCTTCTTCAACTTCAATTGGTTTAGTATCAAAACACTTAATTTCTAATGTTTTGGGTTTAGAGTTTTCTTTAACATTTTTAATGTTACGCATTGTCGCCCTAGGAACCATTGACACAGTCGTTGAAGCTTTGCTTGTTTTTTTATTTTTGGGATCAGGCAACATTGAGAATAAGCCGCATCCGCTCTATGAAACCAAAAATCAAATTTATTCAGAAATTAAACTTGATATGTATAAAAACAACAGTGATGTAATTCCATGCTCAATATTTTCACATATTMTTATAAGTATGGCTCATGAGATCATTTTCAATAGCTAATTATGATTTATATTTAACTAAAAAAAWTTTTTTTTTGGGGGGGAGGGCAAGAATTTTTTGAGCTGGGCCTGGGCCTATCCTGGTGTCGMCACTGACTAGTTTATGACAATATTCTAGTGAATGTTGTAAAAATAAAGAAACATATAATACTTTACTTTGAAAGTTTCAGTAATGCAATGACTTTTTCCAAGTCTTGCAATATTTAAATAATTTATTTAGTCCCAAAGAATACTAGAAACTATTGCATAACTATTAATTAGGATTAAATGTATTAGCATTACAAATATGAAATAATATTACTCCAGATTGACTTTTTTGTATTTCTTATTTAAAGGAATTAACATAGTTTAAAATTATTATATAAATTACATAATATAAAAATATTCATGTGTAAAATAAATATATTTTAAAGATAACTAATACATCCTATTTTAGAATATATAATTGAAGATATCAGAGTTAACATGCAGTTTAAAACTGTTATTCACAAAATATACATTAAAATATATAACTAAATAATAAAAGCATAGTATAATTTATTTTATTGTTAAKCTCATTGGACTAAAATTAATATCAAGCTGTACAGATTTTAATTTAACCTTGTAGGAAAAACGGGACCGGTCCAATGTGTGATCTACCGATAAWYGGCTGGTCCAATGTGTGATCTACCAATAAAATATGGCTGGTCCAATRTATAATTAACTTGCTATTATTTTGCTTGTTATATTCATACTGCAAAAGTATTTTTGAAGTCTGATAGAAAAAATCACCCAATATTTTAGTTAGTATCAGGTGGCATGATTGCCACCATTCTCCTTTAAGTTGGCTGTTAAATAATAGTGGAGATGCGCCTTCTACTTTTATATTATACTTGGACTTGACTAACTTTCACAACAACTCTATTGTTTCARTATGAGCTCTAGTATTTGATCMACAACATTTTCAGTATGATATACAGTTTGATGAATAAATCCGTGATTCTTCAGAGAACTATATGCACGCCACTGATCGCTTTAAATCTTTATACYAATTTCTACCTCGCTTTCTATTATTAGTATAAGCGTTTTTCAATTCCTTTTTTCTACAATGAAAAATCGACCTTTAGTATTGTTGTCTTTATTACAMCACAAACCAAATACCCACGGTCGCTGWATTCTATTTCCATAATTTCGTTGGTTATTTTCTACTGGAGTTTCATTTTCATAATATGAAGTTTCTTCACTATCTTCGTGTGGTTGTGGGTTGTAATCAACACATTGTAAGCGATCGTGATTATATTTTCGTTAAAATATAGGTATCTGTTATCAGTAGAGTTGTACCTACAAGCTTTTTGGCAGATAGCCGTTTATATGTAGATCACATATTGGACCGGTCCCAGAAAAACATTGTTTAATATATTATGAGCTTTTGAATCAGCATAATTGAAGTACATTATTAATTAAATACTTAAAAAAATGTATCGACATATTTTAAAATTTCAAAATTAAGTTATCACTTCATATTTGGTATAAATTCATAAACAATTGAAACTTACATTTGAAGGTTTGATAACTTTACATTTTGGTTGATAATCGTCTTCTTCATCATAAAACTAAAAAAAAAACAAAAGATTAATAATCATATAAATAAGTAAGATAAAGTTTAAAACAAGAATAGGTAGGTAAGTACTTCATTTAATGAAGGAATTATTATTTTGACTTTTCCTCCACTTTTAGGCTTAGGTAGTGTGGGAAATAAAGGAGTTTCTTTTTTCTCTTGAATGYTATTGACGATTGATGGTTTTGTTTGAACTACCACATTTTCTTCGTCAACTGAATCATAATCATCTATTGTTTTTAAGTTTTCAATAGATTTAGGTTCAGGCAGTGTTAAAAATGATTTACTGCTAATTGTTTTTGTCGCTACTTCTACAAAGTTGGGTAATGGCTTTAATACTTCAACATTATCATCATCTGAATCGCAATCACTGTCTGCGTACGCCACAAGTGACATTATACTGGCAAAAAAAAAAACAAAAAAAATTGTTTAATTTATCAAATAACAAAAACTTAAATAGGTACTCACCTGACCTAATTTTATTTGACCTTCCACTCTTAAGTTTAGAAAATAGTAGTTATAATTGTATGTAGTTGCGGTCTTATAAACTATATTTTGTAATTACTATGATGTAACTTAAGTTTTAAGTGCTATTTTCATTCATTAAATATGTGTTAAATAATATAATAGTTATTTTAATCAGTAAATCTACTAATGTTTTTACTTTTTGAGTATTGTCAGTTGTCACTTGTGTCTTAAACTTTTAATGTTTTTCACTCAATATCTTTCAACTGAAAAAGTAATAAACTATTAACTAATAACTAAAAAGTGATTGTAAAAAATAACATTGATAATTTCATTCAGATAATACCATAGACCGCACGGTTTAAGATATATATCTGTATATATGTACTATATATATATATATATGTATATCTTAAACCGTGATAGACCGTAAAAGGTCTATGGTTAATACTTCTAAGACCGTGGTAACCAGTCTAACCAATAGATAATGCATTTTTTCCAATCTTTAATCACAGAACAATTTTATTTTCTGATCGTCTAAATTCATCAGAATGGTTACTAGCTACATAACAATAATACAAAATATGTGTTTCATGGCAGCACTGGAAAATTACCTATTACCATAGGATAATAWAACATTAATACCTATGTCAGACCATTTTGATTTTTGACTTTTGAGACAAGACAACGCATCTATTATCTGATTCACTTCTGTTTATTTTGTGCTTGAACCCAATGAACCCCCTAAATTCAAATTTTAAATGTTTTAAACTCAGATGGGTAACTGTTGTGCAGGACGTTAGTCAGAAGAAGGAACTCATGAAGGTATTGAACACTCTTCGACACGCTCTACTCGATACAGGATATAGGTACTAGGTAGTGTTAATGTATTACTATTTACTATACAGAGATTGATTGAAAATATAATATTAACAGCGACAAGAAAAATAAAATAAATCATTTAAAAATAGTAGATAGATARGTACCTAGTAAAACAATCATCGTTCATTCACATGGGTATTTCGTATTAAAAATTATATTATATTGTATAATATTGTACCTACCTATTTCCGGGCTATTTTTATATTATTTATTATAGTTAGGTACTGGCCAATGTATATCTATATGAAGTTWATTTTTAAATTTTTGTAGTAACTAGTAATTAGAGTTGGGCAACATCTTATCTAGAATCTAAATAACTAATCGAATAAAAAATTATTCGACTAATTTCTAAACGTTATTATTATTCGAATAACTATGTTTAAAAATTATCCGAATAAAAATTATTTTGATAATTTCAAAACGTTATTATTCAAACAAAAAATTATGCTATAGTACAAAATATATATATCATATAATGGTAATAAGATTATAGTTTATAAAATATTTTCTAGTTAATAACATCATTAATTATATACTGTTGTCTGTTATATATTAAACTAAATTAATTTTTTTAATAATTTACTAATCAAACGTTTTATTGATTTTTATTATATAATTTTAAATACTGCACACTTAATTTTTTATTCGAATAATAACGTTTAAAAATTATTCGAATACATTTTTATTCGAATAACGCCCTACTCTGGTAGTAATGGCTTAAGTTGATAGGTTCAACTGGTTCAAGTATTTATGATCGAAACTCAGAACTACTAAAGGATGGTGGTTTTAAGAACGTAAGAATGGGATCAAGTAGGATGGATAAAATGGAGTTAAGTGATTTTTAAATGTGACTATAGGTTGTGAAAGGGTAAAAAGTTAGGCTCGAAAGCTTTAATTGGAAATTTAACAAAAAACACACACAAAAAGTTGTTTCATACAAATTTTACTGCTATAATTAGTTGGATAAATAAATAAATAGGTAAATAAATAAATAATTAAGTAACTTAAAAATAAATACATATTGCCATTTTTATACATCAAAACATTGTATTTTTTTATAGTACTTATACAATCTTCATAACATGTTATAATTATTGTTATAACAAACATTTTAAAAAAAAACCTTATAATATACCTATATTGTATAATATTGATATTTAAAGGTATTAGTTTAATAAATGGCGTATCTTTTAAGGTATATAGTATATGCAAAGTACATACCATTTTACATTATGGACTATACCTAATTGCCTACCTCTATTCAATAAGATATATATATATATTATATATATTATTTATTTATTATCAGTGGTGTATTGGTGAAAAAATGTTTGGGTATACGCACTTTAAGCTATATTTTATTGCAAAAA